AATCCGTTAGTCACTGAGTCAATCCGTTAGTCACTGAGCCAATCCGTTAGTCACTCAGTCAATCCGTTAGTCACTGAGTCAATCCGTTAGTCACTGAGTCAATCCGTTAGTCACTGAGTCAATCCGTTAGTCACTCAGTCAACCTGTCATCAGCCGGCCAGTCACAGTCAGTCAGTCGGTCGTCTCTCTGTCAATCCGTTAGTCACTGTCTCAATCCGTTAGTCACTCAGTCAATCCGTCAGTCACTCAGTCAATCCGTCAGTTACTCAGTCAACCTGTCATCAGTCAGCCAATCGCAGTCAGTCAGTCAGTTAGTCACTGAGTCAATCCGTTAGTCACTCTCCGTTAGTCACTCAGTCAACCTGTCATCAGCCGGCCAGTCACAGTCAGTCAGTCGGTTCGTCACTCTGGCAATCCGTTAGTCACTGTCTCAATCTGTTAGTCACTCAGTCAATCCGTTAGTCACTCAGTCAACCTGTCATCAGTCAGCCAATCACAGTCAGTCAGTCGGTTAGTCACTGAGTCAATCCGTTAGTCACTGAGTCAATCCGTTCGTCACTGAGTCAATCCGTTAGTCACTCAGTCAATCCGTTAGTCACTCGATCAATCCGTTAGTCACTCTGTCAATCTGTTAGTCACTCAGTCAACCTGTTATCAGTGGGCCAGTCACAGTCAGTCAGTCGGTTAGTCACTCTGTCAGTCTGTTAGTCAATCAGTCCCCTCAGCCACATTCAGTCAGTACAGGAGTCACAGTCAGTCACATCTAGTCCGATTGTCAGGCATTACCAGCCTCTCCGTCACATTCATTTGATCATACAGTCTGTCTGCGATTCTGTCTGTCAGTCCATCTGTCTGTCTGTCTGCCAGCCAATTGGTTTGTCTGTCGTTCTGTCAGTCTGTCTGTTGATCTGTCAGTCTGTCAGTTTGTCCACCAATGAATCAGTCAGGCTGTCAAATTCGTTGTGCTTGAATTTACTTATCAATGGGGTATCAGCCAACTGACCGATGACATCGAGTGGAGCGACCAATCAAGCGATCAATCAACTTTTTTCGGTTTTCAATGTGACGCTTAGGGTGTCTACTCCCTAAGCAGAATTGGAGGAAAGCTGTCTGGTTTCTACTCCATCGTTCTGAAGTCTGAATGTTGAATATTGGTTCTCATCCTTCGGAGCCTTACTGTTTACCAGCAGATGAACCAATGTGCTTGCCTCTGAGATGGTTTGCAACTTTGCACCCATGGATGTTCTGGGTCTTGTTACCTGGGCCATTCCCAGCAGTATACATTAAAAATCAGTCCAAATTTCTAAAGTAAATGTAAACAAAGTTAAAAAAAACACACCACCATCAGACACACATGCATGCTACACACTCAAAAGAAGGAAGGAGAGAGAGAGAGAGAGAGAGAGAGAGAGAGAGAGAGAGAGAGGAGGAGGGGGGGGGGTGAGGAAGAAGGAGAGGAACATGTTGAGGATGTCAAGCAGCCAAAATGAGCAAAGCGTTTCCGTTTTTTTTTGTTTTTTTTTTTTGGCAGCCTCAGATCTTGGAGGATGCAGGACCATGCAGTGTGAGAGATGGATATTGCCTTGCCTAGGCAGGGCAAGGGCAGAGTCGATCCTGGCGCTTGGTTATCGTCGATGGACGGCATCTTTATCTACTGTCGAGCGTGTAGCAGCTGCTGCTGATGTAGCAGGGTTAACAGGGAGGCTAGTTGTCCGCCAGTCTGGGCACTGCGCTCAGCAACTGCATTTTTGCTCTCTGGTTGATGTGTACAAGGCGGACAATAAGTGTGACGGTTGGCGCAGATCCTGTTCCAGGTTCGGTCCCACAACCTCCGATTCTCAGGCAGTCGACGTGACGTCAACCATGACTGATTTTGCTGATGAATGCAAGAATTCCAATGTGGAGTTGTCGGCAAATGGAGAGAGTGCAACGTTCCATGCATCGACGAAGCCGAAAAATCTCGTCATGAGACGGACAAACGAAAAACTTGTGCCTGCCACAGCAGAAAATGTATGTGTTGCTGCGAGTGCTCTGCAGCAGGGAGATGTAATCGCCGTCCCAACTGACACGTTGTATGGCTTAGCAGCTGACGCACAGTCTGCATCTGCCATCTTCAAGCTGTATGAGATCAAGGGTCGGGATCTGAAGAATCCTCTCGCCATCTGTGTCGGCAATGTCGCGGATATTCCCTTCTACGGCGACACTCGCCATTTGCCGGAGGGTCTTCTCCTGAAACTTCTTCCCGGGCCCGTAACTCTTGTACTCCCCAGGCATGCTCTTAGCCGGCTTCATCCTTCTCTTAACCCCGGTGTGGCCGGGATCGGGGTGAGGGTACCGGATACGGCTTTTATCCGGGACGTGGCGAGAAGTTTTGGAGGGGCCTTGGCATTGACAAGCGCGAACGTGAGTGGTGGGCTCAGTCCCGTAAGCGTGATGGAGTTTGAATCTCTCTGGCATCATTGTGCTCATGTTTTCGATGCAGGTACCATTTGTGGAAATAGCAGCGGTAGTGAGAGGGAGGGGTCCACAGTCGTCGAGCTTGTGGAACCGGGCAGGTACAGTATCCTTCGTGCCGGGAGCGCCCGGGATGAGACAGCTGCCATCCTGAAAGAGTTTGGCTTGCAGGACGCCAAGCAGAAGTAACTCTTCTGGCAGGATGGGTGGACAGACAGGAGACAGAAAGGAGAAAGGAGAAAGGAGAAAGGAGGAGAGCGATGATTTTATTGTTCAGGGTCTAGGGGCTTAGGGCTTAGGGTTTAGGGTTTAGGGCCCAGGGTTTAGGGTTTAGTTTATGAGGGTATTCACAGCAACTTCGAAAAGGGCTTGAAGTTTACGGTGCTTCCCTGTTTTCGCTCCTGTTCGTGGTTTGTCTTCGTGCTTGGATTTTGTATGTGTCTGTGCAGCATTTGTTTGCGTGGTCAGGTGTGCACACATGCTTGTGTGCCGGTTTGAGTTGGTTGCGTTGGGTTTGGTTTTTTGCGGCTGGGTTTGGAGTTCGGTTGGGTTTGGTTTGGGGGTTGGGGTCTGGGTTGGGTTGGGTTGGGTTGGGTTGGGTTGGGTTTAGGGTATGGTTGAGTAGATGTTAACGGGGTCTTTAGATTATTATAAAACAGATTAGCAGTGGTTAAAGGATTATTGATCAGCAATAGAATTGTCATCAAAACACTCAGTAAACCCAACCAAGTTTGATTTTTCTTCATCCATGCTTGGATGTCGTATGTGTCTGTCCATTTCCATGGTTGGGCGTGCTTACACGCTTGTTTGTTGGTTTTGATTTTTTGATGGGTCGAGTTGGGTTCGTTCAGTTTGGTGGGGTTTGGTCGAGAAGTGGTTCACCGAGCCCGGAATTTCCACTGCTCAGTCATGCACTCGACTCTCCCACAGCTGATTCTCTCCATGTTTAAAGGTTAAAACAAAATCTGATCCTTGTTTTGGGGGGGTGGGGGTAAGGGAAGGTGGGGCTGAAAGGTGGTCTCTTATACACATCTAGATGTGT